AAAGTTTTCTATTTATGCTCTCACGAGTAGAGGAATGCTAAAGTTGGGGGCTCCTCCGGGGAGCTCCTCGCGGTAGAAGGTGATGGGATTCAGCTTCCCCGATACTTGTTGAGGGTGGAGTTTTTGCTCAAGCTTGCATCGATGAGTTGCTCAAACTTTCTCTTCATCGAACCCACAGTAAGCTTGTTGAACCCCCCGCCAAATATAAACATGGCGGAGGGGAAGGTCTCCTATAAACTGCAAATTATAGAGGGTTTTAGGCCTCGTAGAGGATGTATAAGTCCTCGAACTGAGAGATCGATGTTGCGGTGAGAATATGATATCAAATTATCAATTAATTTGAATCACGAATCTTTAATTCACAGCCGGTCTTTGATTTATCCGAAGGAAAAGTCAAAGAAAGGAAAAACCTAATTTTTGCATCGTAAACAATGCGGGGAGAGATCTAGGTAAGGGGTTGGTTAAGCCTAGGGAAGGTATTAGCACCCTAAACTTCTGTAGTACTCTACAGGAACCTCTTGTTTAATACTACTATTTTGCTTTAATTATTTGCTTGAGGGTATATGCTAAGGGTTAGAAGGTGAAAGAAAGACCTAAGGGTTAGTCCTAAGTTTACTCGCCAAGACTCGCATCTTGTGCCTACGTATCCGAGGTAGGGGATGGAATTAGAGTAATCGTAGTTCCCCTCGAAAGGGAGGTTAGAAACTTCTTGAATGTGGTCAAGGTTTCAATGGGAAATAAGCGTTCTTAAGGAAGCACTTACGTGGAGTGCAGCGACTCCTATTTTCACGTTGAAAATAGTTGAATTGAATTTAAAAAGGGTAAAATAGGTATTCCATGACAGGAAACCTAAAACGGAGTGCGGCGACTCCTTAACCTAATGCTAGGGTAAAGGGTAAATTGGTACACGGCGGGATGCCTACAATTAGGGTTTTGAAAGAGTCAAAGGTGAGGATTATTGACGCGGTGGTCAAACGGCTAGACCTATTCCTTCGGAGGGAAATTACGGTAAATAATACAATGAGAATAATTATCAAGCGGCGGTATTGAAATATGGGAAAATGCAAGAATAATAACAAAATAAAAGCGACGATGTCCTCGCATAAATTACAATCGTGAAAAATGAAATACGGAAAAATAAAGGATTAGCAAATAAGTACAAGCGAGAGATATAAAAATAACGACATAAGCGTTAGACAGAATTAACGGGAATGTTAGGAATTTTGGTAAATTTATTTTAAATTAGAAATTAAGGCTTAAAACAAAGGCGGTAGAAATTAAAAATTAAGAAAAGTTAGAATTTTTGAATAAAAGTTTTAGAATTTTAAAAAAGGTATTTCCATGAGGATATTAAATTAGAAAAAAATTAATTAATTGTTAAATTTTTTTAAGGGATTAGATTTTAATTAAAAGATTTTTATTTATTAAAGAATGTTAGACTTTTAAGTTAGAAAGATATTTTAATTTTCTTTAAAAAGTTAGATTTTTTTAAAAGCAGAAACTAATATGTTAGAATTTTTTTAATAAAAGATCGTGTTAGGACTAAAAACAAAATATATTTAAAAAAATATTCAATCCTAAAGGTCATAAAAAAGAATTAAATGAGTTATTTAGGAAAAGATTATTTAGGAAAAGAATTAAAAAGATTAAATCAGTTGTTTAAAAATTAAATAAGGGTTAATTATACAAAGAAATTAATTTTTAATTTGAATCAGAATTTAATAAAAATTAAAAATTGAAAGAAAATTAAAAGAACCAGGCAAAATGATCCCGTGTGGGGGAAACCATGAGGTGCGTAATGGACGGCCAGATCTGAGACGTGTGATTATGGCTTGGTGATGACGGGTGGCTGCGAAGATGACGGTATGTGGGAATTACCGTGAGTCTGCACACATAGAATCAATTGTACAATATAAAAAATAGAAAACCTAATTTTCTACACTCCCCCTATTTCCCTTCTTGTCCGCCCCTGGTCTCTCCCTACTCTTCATTTTTTGATATATCTCCCCTCTATACGGCATGCACGATTGCTCATCTTCTTTTCCATTCGCCATGAACCTCTTCTTCTTCTGTTCATTTTATCTGCAAACCAAAACAAACCCAAAGAAAGTGAAAACATACAATGGTGACTTACATTTTCGATGGTTTCTTGTTGGTGTTTTTTCTGACGTGACGATGATGACGGTGAGGATAACTCCTCCCTCTGAGTCCAGTTGGTGGTCTTGACCCTTTTTTTATACTGATATTCGCCGTTGTTGACGGACTGGTGATGATTCGTAATGATGTTGGCTAATCTTCGTTGAGGACGGCTGGGTTGATCGGTGACAGTCGTTCTTTCGTGATGGTTTTTTGATCAGTTTTAGGGTTGCGCCGCAGACCCTTCTTGATGATTACTGATGCTGTTTTTTGATGATTTTTTAGGGTTCTCAGAATCCGTCCCTGATGACCTTGTTTGATGTTCTTATATTGTTGTGGCTTGGACATGATTTTTGCGATTTTTATGAGTTATTTGTTGTGTTGGTTTGTTACTGAGACTTTTGTGGCTGGTTTGTTGGATTATTTTGAGGAAATCTTGTTGCTTATTGTTGTTGTGAAAACGTTGTTGGATGGGTGGTTCGATCCATTTGGTTCATAAATTTTTGGGAAATGTTGTTTGTGGTCTATTTGGCAAAAAACCATTTTTTAGAAATAAGTGCTTTTTCCAAAAGCACTTTTTTCAGAATCACATTTCCAAAATTCACTTTTCTAAAACCATTTTTCCTCTCTCCTGGATTAAAATGGAACAGATGCTGCTAGACTTGTGTTGAGGCCGGAAATAAAAGTCGGGAGCTGGCGACGACTTTGTCGTTGTTGTCCTCCCGACGTACCCGATGATGAGCTTTTACTGAGGGTATCGAAACCGATAAAAATCCACTTTATTGATTAAATTATTTTCATCTGTGGTTGATTTGTTTTGCAGGTCCGGCAAAGTCGAAAGTTGAAGATTGACGAATCGGGCGCAGAGACAAACTTAGAAAAATTAGGACTTTTAGCACTTTTTGTAATTATAATTTTTGTAATATTGTAATAAATGTAATATTCTAATAATATAGAATTTAAATGAATAAATTCAAATTATTTCTCCAATCACATTTCTTCGATTAAAATCTCCGACTAACCCATCCGATAAAACTTAAACAAATAAATTCATTTAATTAAATCTATTCGACTAAATTTCTCCAAATAAACTCAAACAACTAAAAATCATTTAATAAAATTTATCCGATCAAGCTCATCCGACTAAATTTGTCCAAATAAACTTATCTGCTTAAATCCATACAAATAAATTCCACTGATTCAATTTACCCGACTAAATCCGTTTGATTAATTTTGCCGACTAAGTTCACCTGATCAAATTCGTTCAATTAACAGTCCTCTGATTGAATTCAAGTGACTAACTTCATCCAATTAAACTCATTCAAATAAATTCATTTAATTAAATTTATCCAATGAAATTTATCCGATTAAGCTGCGACGTTCCAACTCCGAATTCGATAACTAATCATTTTGCACGATTTAAATTTGACGTAACTGAGTTCAAACAAATTCTCTTGCAAATTAATTCGTACCCAATATTAACGTCGATGAATATGGCCTTGAACGGATAAGCAGAGAAATTCGGCTAAACGGCAGAACGAACTGTCTTCCGTATTGAAAATTCAAACCGCATCTCTACTACTTTAACCCGGTAACCTGAATCAGCTCAACTAACAGTCATGATCAAAACAACAGATATTCATTATAAATTCAATGCGCACCGAAATTCCACTGTTCCTTTAAAATCGATCGTTGACCAGCAGAAAGCAGGAAAACGTGTGTCTGTTAAAATACATTCTTCAAAGCCAATTCTCGCACTGATTTAACCCGAATCTACTGATATCTCGACACATTCAGCTCCATATGGCTTATTACTCAAACAACACTTCAAAACCCAACTGACGACTAAATCTCGGCTCTTGAATTAAATGTGTTGTGTCACGAGAAATCTGACGTCAAAGCTGCCGTAAAATTCAGCTCATCCTCAAATAAGTCACACGACTCGGAGATTGAAACCCTAATCACTTGAAGAACTCCCGATGACGACTCAGTTTCATAAATTGTCAGCAGGTTGCGAATTAATGACCTTTTTTTCCTTCACCAATTAAATCGCACATTGTGAAATTTTTCCTGCAAAACCAACTGACTGAGCAAAATGTTTAGCGGTTAGTTTACAATACAATGCAGAATGAGATGAAATGCGAAATGAACCGACTAATCTATTTGTCTTTGTTTTTGGATGAACTTTTCGGATAAAAGAATCACAGTTGGAAAATTATATTTACTTATATTTGCAATTCTCTAAATGTTTGGTGTCTGAAAATATGAATTCAACATTAACAAAGCATATTATGAATCCAAACAGAAGCCCATGCGAATGCACGGGGTTGTTACTAGTATAAAATTAATAGATCAATACATTTTATTACAAATATATATTGTGATAATATTAAAAGATCAATACAATCATGAAAATAAAGTATGATGTAAACCATAAAACTTTTAATTTAATTGATACTTTGTTGTATAATCTTTTAATTATCTGTGATATAAGCTCTTTAGTAATTTGAGATACTTCATGAAATGTTTTACCAACCGACAACACCATAATTCTATAGCTAAGACATGGTTAAATTGTAGAAATGATATGCTGATGATCTTGATAATTAAATCAAATACCACCAAAACCACGGGAAGAATTCAGTAGAATTTGAAAGTGAAATTGTACACTTCAAATCTGTACCAAGAATTATGAGTCTTATATACAAGGATGATCATTTACAAGACTATACACACAATCTTCTTCCAGCTACAGCTAATTCTGATTAAATTCTTCTGTCGCCACATCTGGAAGGACCGTGAAGAAATAAAAAATAATTCAAAGTATATCGTCCACGTGATTATATTGCATGAGATATGCCAGTTCAATCGGAATTGACGGGATCTTCCTGATCATCAAACTCTTGACTCAATTTGAGTAAAGAACTTGCAGGATTTCTAGATAAGATTATGTTTCCTCTTGAATCTCTGGTGGTTGTGTTCAGAGCATTAGAATTCATAACGATTCTGCATGTTGCCGGATCATCTGATCCCATGTCAACGCCATAATAGACCAAGTGGTCTGTGATGCTAGTTCCACTCACTGACCTGTAAAAGATGAGAACTCAAATTTCAGCGGGACTGTAGAATATTCACGTTTCGAAATCCACTGTAGTGGCAAAATTTTCAACTTTCAGTCGCATTTTGACAACAGATTGACTAACCTGCTACAATCTGGATCCTCGCCAGACCCATCACAAATCTTCTCAACCCTGTACACAAGACTTCCTAATCCAATGTTATAAAGCCATACCTGCAATCCACAACAACTTAGATTCTTGAAAAATAATAAAACAAATTGAAAACAAGTTCTGCAGGTAAGCATATTTCTGGATATATAGGTTTCGTTGTACAGATTCCATCACTTCATTATGCAAGGCCTTACCTCTCTCGGGAAGTGCTGGTATGTCTTCTGTGGTAAACGGTAATAGTATGGAGGCAAATGGGGAACAATATCATGGTCATTTGTGACTCGGATTGTATTTGGAACTAGTTGGCTGTATAGAGATGCAAAAACACCATTCCCAATACGAGGTTGTCCAAATGTCATAACCTGAACTTTATTTTCTTGTTTATTTACCTGTAGTAATGTAAAATCAAAAAAGTAATTATGCATCCTTGTATAATAGGAATATTTTGAAATGAGAATTTAAACAAGGATCTATACAAAATGACTAATTTTTAGTATGAATTTTGGACACTGTTCTGATTAGTTTCTAGAGACTAATAATAAAAAATCACTTTTCCAAATACAATATCTCCCAAAGAAATTCAAAGCATGTGCCTGAGGAAAAATAAAGGCAATACATATAGAACAATAAAACCATGGTGTGCAACACCGAGAAAGTTAAACTAAAGTTACCACTAAATCAAGTCCACAAAATGCAGCCATTGCTCCTCCCATTGAATGCCCCGTAACTATAATTGGAATATCGCCATAAAACTTCTTTGCTCTTTCAACGGCCCCTAAAACTGCAGGGCGTATTGTTGTATTATGGTATGCAGTATAAAAACCACGATGTACCTGGTGAGATTGATGATAAGATTTCAGAACGGACTATATTACAGACACAAAGTAAGGCCAGAGCTTTCACGTCACATACCATTGCATCATCCATGTCTGGATAATTTATTTCATGCTGCTTCCAATATAAATCTTCGATCCAGTTCTGCAAACTACATAAAAGCAGTTTCAAACAAATCAACTCAGTATTATGAAGTTACCTCAGAAGTGAGCCAAAAATCTGAAAGGCTTAAACTGTTTTCCTTTTAATAATGTATTATGGATAAATGTTCTCTTCATAACAATAATTTACATGATTCCAAACATGACTGTCAAACATGCTTTCTTCATATACAGACAATGTGGTTTCTGACCCTTTCAAACAGAAGAATCTATGATGTACAGTACAACATCTCAAATATGATCTGAACTACAGATAGTCATCTACTGCATAAGCTAAAGAATCCTGCTGGTCAATTTAGGATCACAGAAATGCATGCTTGATGCAAGAAAAACTGAAAATAATTCATATTACTTGGTCACTCGTGCTCACTGCCTTTAAGCCAGAAATATATTGCCATCATATTAAATCAAGTAAACTGCATTTATCTACTTATGCATGTGCATGAATGTGAATGTTCATACAAACTTAACATGCATAAGTAGAACATTTTTTCTTGTTTCTAATATATGCAGGCATGTGCATGTAGGCATACATACAACACTAAACTCTAATCAATCCATTTTAGTGGTGGCTATTGAAATTTGGGCCCAAATAACACACAACTTAAGCGATCAAGAAAATCCACCTGTGTTCATTAGTTCCTCTGAATGCAATGATGATAGCAAGTGGATCCTCAGCCACTCCAACAAATGCCTGGAATAGGATGTGATAATTACATAAGGACAGAGAGTGCATTAATATAATAGATTAACCAAGGAGTGGAAAAGGTAATAAAGAGAATTCATTATTTCTGTAGTTTACAGGAATATTGATTTGTGATGATAGTTCACCAACCTGTAAGCAATGCTCCACATCAACAACCAACTCTATAATTTCAAATCCCTGTTTACATTTAAAATATCTTTAGACCAAATATTTTATAAAAGACAAATTAGTAGAATACAAGAATGTGAGTAATTCAAAGTTCGCTCACTACTTGAGTGAACAAGTAAAGTTATATTAATGTTTACATTCTCAGCACCTTGGTCAAGTCACCACATCTAGAGCACGTCCAAGTAAAAAGTTGAGTCAAATCTGACAAGTATACCTGCAAGAACCAAATCTACATCAGTTCATGTATTGTATATAATTCATACAGAATTCCCACACGGCTTGCCTTGACCAAATGCATCTGATGAAACTTTAGATTCACAACATCATGCAAGCAAAATGACTTATAAACTCTAAAATCTAGGCTACATAGATAAGATACAATAACAGATAGTTTGGCTTGTTTTGGCTATGGACTGGTCAGGACAGAGAATCTCTCCATCGAGATTGGCATGTGAGAAGGTCCCTCATTTGTTAAATTATTTATGGTGTGTAAAAGCATAAGTGAAGACATTGACTTCCTTTATTTGTAAAATAAAGAAGATATGGTTTGAAGTGGCAGACTTAAAACCTACTTAGGCAAAGCCAGGTTGAAACTTGAAATTTTCATTACAATCATCAACTTATGATCAATCCTCTCTGTCAATATAAGAGTACAAATAATAAACACAATAGTTATAATCACTCTATAAGCACTGCTTAGGTTGAGCATATATAATTCATAAAGAACTCACCGCGGAAGCAAATTCGACTAAAATTATAGCAAGTGTATGATTGTACTGGGCAAGATGACTCGCATGCCTAACCTTGAGTTCTGCAGATGGAAAATGTATCATTGGTATGCAAATGTGAAAGGTCCATAATAAAAGTAAAAGACTATGATTCAGAATATAATTTCTTCATATCATGAGTTCATATCTGTTCACCTATAGAATAGACATGTCTGCATATGCGAGTTGTTCATGCCTTCTTCAAAAACATAAAAATAAATATCTCACCTACGGTGTTCTTGTGGAATGCTTCAGTCATGTATAACTAAGGGGTGGCAAAATGAGCCCGTTTTGCCCACACTTTCTTGCGGGGCGGACCAAGATTTTAGGCCCTCGCCCACTAATGCGCCTGCCCCGCTCCGCTCTATTTATTTGGGCTTTCGCGGTGTGGCATTTACATAATTTTTTGCATTTTTAGCTTTAAAAGGTGCAATGTCCGTGGACCCACCCCACCCTCGTTTTTTTTTGCTGGGTGGACCAAGGTTTTAGGCCTGCACCCTTAACTATGTCTGCCCCACCCCGTTTTTTCGGGTTTTGCGTGGTAGACCTAAACTGGACGGGCATGCCGTTTGCCACCCCTATGTATAACCCAAACAAATAGATATAAAAGGACATACTTTGACGTCGAACGACCCATACAATATGATCCTTACTTTTTAAATTAGATTTCTGCTATTGAATCATGAACCGATAAACTCATTGCCCGTTGCCCATGGTTTTTTGGGTTCAAGGGCAAGGGAGGAGCAACTTTACTACAAACTTAAAAGACAAATTGTATGATATGGCATTGCCAAATAGCAAAGCTGAAATTCAGCAAAACACTATTATTATGCTATATACTAAACTATTTGGTACAAAGTGTTGTCAAATATCAATTATAGCAACAAATTGGCAGAATTTGAACAAACTACTATTTTATCAATCAGCGTTAACAACATCGGTAATGTGATGCCTAGCCTAACTTTCCTACACTCGAATAAAAGCTCCATTCCACCAACCAAAACAAGCATGAATCAAAACCAACTATCCCGAATTATCAATAAACACACAAAACTAAACAAACCCATCGATCCCGCATTATTAATAAACACACAAAACTAAACAAATCCAACGAATTGAAAGATTACATCAAAACACAAGACAAACAATATTATAAACCAAAGAACATTAACGCAGAAGTTACACTCTTACCTCTACCATCAGAAACGGAAAACACGCACAACCAGGTAACAAATATCAAGCTCCAAATCTTCGCCATACTTTACTCTGCAATTGAAAGTACATAGAATCATAAGAATGGAAAATAAACACAAAATCAATTTACCGTGAAAAAAACGTCAATTACTTCAACACAAAACGTAATACCTAAATAAATCAGGAACAACGTTCCAAAACAATAGAGTAACAATTAAGCAAAAATTGGATAGTTTAATACACGTACAGATAAAGTACCGCGAAATGGAGAATTTTGCCCCGCCGCCGCTCAGTGGTTTTCCGATGAGGGTTTTCCGGCGAGAAAGGGAAAGAAGAAGTCAGAGAGTCATAAAAATAATTATGGGTTTGATTTGGATATATAGGAAGGAAATTAGGAATAACAACAATAACAGCAAAGGAAATGGAAGAAGTAACGTGATTAAGCCGTTTTTGAGGTTGATTTCGTCATTTCCGTAACGTATTAGAACACTTAATTACTGTTTATTTATTGTCTGTTTCTTTGTTTGTTGTTATTACACTGAAGCGAAAATAGCGAATCGTGCGTGTATATTCTTTGAGTTCTTATCTTTTTATTTTTAGGCTATTTTTTTTATTTTTTTATTTTTTTTTAATGAAGATTCCATAATTGCACATTTGACCGAAGAAAAACATGAGTCAATTTAGTGAATGAGAAAATAATATAATGTATAGTAAATAATGAGAATTTTTTATTCTATTTCATGAGTTTTTAAATGTTTTTAAATTCCGGAGATATATCTTCGGACGTGTTTTATAATTTAATAATATTTCGGAGATATGTCTCTAGAATAATTTAAACCTTAAACGCTCACAACAAATCTCTCATAGTCCATTTTTATTTGAATTTATTCGGAAATGCATTTACGGAAATTTTCCGGAAATACATCTCCGAAGTGTTTCAGAACAGGGTTTTTTTTAAATGCATTGTGTATTTGTTCGCGGATGAATTATAAAATAATATACACACCAAAGTAACACAACAATATAGTAATAAGATGTCATACGAGCCTTAAGGCCAAAATATAATAACAATGTAAGGAAAAAAAACATACAAACTAACAAAATAAATACAGACAACTATTGGATGTGTTTGACAACCTCTCATGTGCCTCCTCTGACTGGTTTGCCTCATCGGCCATCGATCGTCCTTGTCCTCGCGTGATGTTTGCGGTACAAAAGTGTTTCATGTGCCTCTGCAATAATGTCATACAATATTCGTCTAACAGCAAACCCCTCAGGGAAGATACTCTCGGCAATGTCTGCCCGCGTCATCTCCACTATGCGGCAACAACGAGGAAAGACATCCTCAGTATGAGCAATTTGAGATTGTTGCTCCTCTAGATTGTCGTACCTCGAAAAATACGATCGCGATGGACGCGAAAAAACTTGTTCGAACAAAGTCGCCATCAAACTTTTATTTATTCCAATAAAGGAAAAGGAAAATATCAAGAAAACGTTTTAAGGAAAGGAAAATGGTCATCGCAACCATATCCGGGTTTGAGAGTCGGTTATGCAAGGGAAATGTATTAGCACCATCTCACGTTTGTTGTACTCAACGGGAACCGCTTAGTTTAATTAGTGATTTGAATGTTAACTACACTTGCTTGTCTTCTTTGAATGATAAAAAGGAAAAAGTTTGCTAAAGGTTTTAACTATGGTTCAAGGGAAAATGGTTGATTTTATTATTAGGGTGTTCGCCAAAGATTTTTGTAACACCCTTCTAATCCCCACGGAAAAATACATATTTAATCAGAGTAAATTAACATGCTTTCACAAAGGGCGTCACACATAATTACAAAATTTTAACATTCACTTGTCATACTCATGTAACATTGAAATAAATAGTCATTCTATTAAATTTTCATCTTGCATGAAGCAGCGGATTCAATTTGGTTTACATAACTCTTCACAGAAAATTCATGTTCATCATATAATCATCAACACTTAGGCACAGAGGCCATTATCACATATTTCAAAAACATTTAAAACACAACTTAGAATATACAATATCTCTAAGGCATAAACCCCGCGATCCCAGTGTTACATAACCAGAGCATGACTTGACCCAACATTATTAAATACTAATAGGTGCACCAACAGCGACCTCGCAACTACTACCAGTACTACTCCTTGGTACCTGCACGATGTCATGTAGGACATCATTCCAGCAGAAGGGTGAGAAACATTACCATAATAATCAATGCACATAATCATATATCAATGCACAAGTACAAAATATATATATTTCACAGTTTCTCACTACAATGCCTCACAATCCACTATCATACATCATAATGTATATATGTATAAAACCAAGCATTTTATCATGCATATATTCACAATTACAATTAATCCACATAGACTTATACATTATGTTTCATTTACCGCCAATCATATAAACATACACAATCATACTTAATAAGCAATTCATTAGTCAATATCTTTCACATTTACATTATTCTCACATCTACCAAGCAAAACATGTATATATATATATACTATTACATCCTCTGGCATTATTCATAATTTCTCATATACACTATGTAACACCCTTCTAAACCCCACGGATAATATATGAATAATCAGAGTAAATTTCCATGCATTTACAAAAGGGCATTACACATAACTTTCAAAATATCAAAACCACCTGTCATGCTCATTACTATTTCAATATAAAATTATGCTTTACAAAACTTCACTTTGCATGTAGCAGCGGATTCAATTATACCACAATTTTCATTAAAGAAACATTTGTTTTTATCACATAAAACAACATCACTTAGGCACTAAGGCCAACATCATAATATTCCAATGGATATAAACACGTTTATAGAGTACACAATGTATATCTTAAACACAACCGAAGCGATCCTAGTGTTACATGACCAGAGCATGACTCGACCCAACATAATTAAATCACTAAACGGCTACACCAAAAGCGACCTCGTAACTACGAGCAATACTACTCCTTGATACCTGCACGATGTCATGTAGGACATCATTCCAGCAGAAGGGTGAGAAATACTATCATAATAACAATGCATATAATTATATATACACAAATACACAAGCACAAAATACATATATTCCACATTTTCTCACCACAATTCATTATAACTCATCATGTACAATACAACATATATATATATAATCAAATATGGATAATCACCAAGCATATTCATCATGCACGTATCCATAAATCTCAACATTCCACACGAACATACACATATTATGTTTACTCACTAATTCCCAATTACACATTCACAATTCTCAAATCAACAATTCATGTTCATAAGCATACTTTCATACAATGATCACATATTCATTCGATGAGACTCAATGCAACTCATGCCATGTGGTACCAACACTTGTTATCATTTTTCGGTTTTTACACTTAAACCGGGTCCGTTCCCTAGACCGATAACAACAAAAGCCCGTTCCCTAAGCTTTCAAACCCCGCTCTAGGTTTGGGACAAGTCACTAGCCTCCACGAAACTAGCAAACATTGCCTCTTGACTAAATGATGCATATGCAATCAACAACAAAATGCACTTAAGACCGATCACACGTCTTAAACCCATGCATTCACATAATTCCTCCCTTCAAGAATTAAATAAGATTGCACACACAACATATCATATAATCGAGTATTCATACTTTTCATCAACATATTTGTCAAACAATGCACGCATATCTTATAATATGCTCCCATGCATTAATTCACAATAATCGGATACAACACATATGCATTCATAATTTAACCTCATTACCTTTTCAAACAATGCACACATATTCACAATATGTTCTCATGCATTCACAATATCGCATACAATTAATATGCATTTACACTTCAATATCATTACCACATTTATCAAGCAATGCACATATATTCACAATATGTTCTCATGCATTCTTCACATACAAACAATATGCATATATTTGTCAAAAGACTATATTTCATAATCGATTCCACCATCTAGGATTCACGCCATACGGCTATCCATAGCATATCATATCACAACACGCACAAGCTATACGTTATATAACAAAAGTATTCTGCACAATAACACATCAATCACACACATTCGCGACGGTAAAAATCAACACAACAATATGTTTTCAATTTTCTGCTATAATTGAACTAGGTACAGACCTCAAATCCATTTTTTTTCTAGAAAGACAATCTCTTTAACTTACCAACGCTTCGAACGGGGGTCAAAACCGACTTACGGTTCAAGAGTTATGAATTTTCGAAGTTTTCCGAAAAACCAGAATTTTGCCTAAACACGGCTACGGGATTTTGCATTTTCGCCCGAAAATCCGACCGATTCAATTCTTTTTTTCGAAACAAACACATACTCATACTCACCTAACATATAGCAGTGAATTAGAACCATTAAACACGATTTCTACGACGTCCGATTTTCACTCAAATCTCAAACCCTCAATTATCCAAAAATGTCAAAACTCACAAACTCAACCAAATTCAATCAAACGAAATCCAATAATCACGGCTAAACATTACCCGACTAAACTATGCAATTTATTTTGAATTCTAACCGTTCAAAACTCGATTCTACCGATTAAACCATTTATGCCCTAGAAATGGAAAATAGAGAAAACTACCAACAAATCCAACACAACTCATACATAATCATACACATTGATCAAATAATAATGTTTCTCACCCTTACCTTGAATTTGTTGAACTTTTGCTCTTTCTCTTGAGTTTCCTCCTCTTCTTCTCCACTCCTCTCTTTGCCTCTTTTCTCCTTTCTATCTTTTCTTTCTTTCTATTCTCTTTTATCTCATTCTCTTATTTTATATAATTCTCACAATTTTAATTAACCTAGTATTTCCAATGGGCTTAATAACTCATGTCTATTCACACCCCCAAATAGGCTCAATCAATTAATCTATTAATTCTATATTATTCTACAAATTAGAATATATCATATAAGTTAAATAATAAAATTAAATCAATTATTTCGAATATGTCCAATAATTCAATTAATCCAAACAACT